AGGGGTTAGCTCAGGTGGTTGTTGAACTGGGGATGGACGCCCGAGATCTTGTGTTCGACAGTCGACTGGTGGTTAGCACAGTCCTTTTCTAAATGGAGGATTATGCGAAGTGGCACTTGCTGGTAGGCTGTGGTGGTAATTTTTTCATTTCTCTTATACTTTTTTTAGATGAAGGTGGGTTTTTTTTCCTGAGATGTTCTTTTAGACGGAGACGAGGACTATGTATCTTCTATATCTAAATAGTTAGCCCCCACTAACATATTTCTCTCAACATGCAAGCATGCCACATCATCAAGCAACATGCATGGCAAAAATCCCACCACAACATGCATTCATGCACATGAAAATGTCCACCTCAACATGCAAACATATATTAGATATTTTACAATACATTAATCAAACACAATAAAGCATATGGATTTGCAATTTTAGTTCTCGTAGTATCACTATTCATGTTCCATAAAAATCACACATCATCGAAATGTATTGCAAATATTCCCGCAACAACGTGCGGGATATCATCTAGTTTTTTTAATAAAAATGTACGCACAGTTTTCTCTCAAGCGGCGACACAGAGTGGCGTCTCAACCACTAGTAACGTTTGAATGTGAGGCAAACGAAATCCTAGGAGCTCTCAACTTCCGGCCAAACTCAACGATAGAATAACTATACACACACAGCTTACAAGACAAGCAGAATCTTAGCCTTGGATCTGAGGCAAGCAGAATCTTAGCATTGCTAAGCGTTCAAAAAAGAAAAGGAGTCCTAGGCTTGCACGCAGATCGCGTGTACGTAACAAAGTGGCAGACTTTTGGCCATTGGCTAGGGCTAGGCGGCTAGGCGCACATGAGCTTTGTCGATCGCTGCATCTTGTTCGCATCGTTGGCTTGAACGATGCACGAGTCATGGCTCATATACAAGGCATTTGGTAGTGGTACTGCCCACCCGGGTTCAATCTTTTGATAGAGTACTACTGTGTCACTATCACATGCTTGCGCTACTGTGTCACATGGTTAAATTTCAGATTTATATGAACGAGTGAACGACCTCCACTCTAGATCCATCCAGCATGTACTCTGGTAAGAATGGTATGCACATTTGTGTGCGCGAGCGTATGATGGGCATGTGTCTTATAACAAAAATACTTAACCTGCAGAGATTTTGGTATTACGAATAAAACGTATGAGCATTATTTTCACTAACCACCCACTAATCGCTCATACTTTAATGTCGATTCTCCATGATTTCCAACCAATTTAGGACGCCGGTCTGTAATTAACATCCAATCTGTAGATTAATTTACTATATCTTCTCAGAGGAATTTGGCTTTTATTATTCCAATATTATTGGTCTTGTAACTCTATTTCTTTTAGACGAACTAAGCCTATCTTATATGATTAGTTTCCTTGTGATGAAACTAGCTTCATCTGGGTTCAATAGTGCTCGCATCTTTTCTACCTAAGGCTTTTCGATGCTATTCTGCTAGTGGTGCGTCCACTACGAGTTAGTTGTGGCGATTTCTTCAATCTCAAAATTTGTCGACCCGGTCTCTCAGAGTTGCTCATAACTAAGGGTTCAATAGTGCTTATAGGGCTGAATGTGTGTACGTATATGTAAGCTTCTATGTTTGTATTGTGTTTCTAAAAGATTGTACTCCTCTGTCCGAAAAAGCTTGCCACAAGCTTGTCCTTCAAATGGATGTATCTAGCACTAACTTGGTGTTAGATATATCTATTTGAGGGACAAATTTTTTCAGACGGAAAGAGTAGAAAATACCATTTCTTTTAGAAACAAGGATACAAATGTATATCCTGCTATCATGGAGCCACCAAGCTAAAGCATAGTACTATTTCTCAAAAATTATATGGAGTGCTACTTCTTTTAGACACGATTTTTTCCTCAAGACGAGCGACTAGAAACCCTTCCGCCGCCAGAAGAGCCGAGCCATCCGGCGGCTCCCCTCTGCTGATGATCTCTCTATAGTCGGTGATGAGGGGGGTTGCCAGATCCGACGCGTGGGGATTGTTTTAGCTTTAGGGCCCTAATCTCTACTCCTAATGGAGCAGTTGGTAGGATTGCGTCCACGGTTTATTTTCGTCTGGTTATATTTCGTCTGGTTTATTTTCGTCCGGTTTATTTTCGTCTCATATCCCACCACCATATCTCCTCACATTGATTTTTTTACCCTCACAATAAAAACTTTCCTAACTTTTCCAAAGTTTCCTAACTAGATACGTTATAAACGGGCATGTACCGATAGCACGTTATCAATTAATAAAATTTTGTTTTATGACAATCAATTCCAAATCCTAATTTTCCTAATGCATCGATCTTTGCCTTTTTTAAGTAGTTATTTTGATAGGGAGGGTTTATCCACGAAAATCATCCCTCCATCGTCGGCTGCATCCCTCACCCACGTCGCTGTTGCAGGATCTTCATCCGTCATCCTGAGCAATTGGGGCGGCGATGCGGGCGAGCTTCACGATAGTGGGGAGGACCAGGCCGCGGTGAAGGCAGGTCATGCGCTCCTCACGCTCCACGAACGGAACCTGCGCACGGAGGCGGTAGCGGGGGGTGGCAGCCGGCAATGAGGCGGCCGCGCTACGTGACGAGCTACGGGTCCCCCTTTGTGATGTTTTGGCATCGCTCCTTCATCGCACATCCTCAGGTTCCTCTTGCCCTTCCCTTCCTCTGTCCTCCTCTCCCATCTCTATGCTTTCACGTGCATCCAGTTTTGATTCCTCGTGTGATATATACCAAACATAGGTACGTCAATTCACTTCCTTCCCTTCCCTTCGTCCCTCGGTCCCACGCTCGTGGCGCTGAAGTGGTGGCAACAGGCGATGGCGGTGGTGTCGCTGATGGCGGCGAGGACAGCATGTGGCAGCTCCCGAAGCATGAACACGACCGCACCTCGGGCCTGCCGTCTGCCAAGATATGGGTGAGTTCTCGTGCTGCCAACCATAAACCCTCATGTCCTACAAATTCCTCAAACCCTACCGTCTTGATCCCGTCCACGCTCTGATCCAAAGGACGATGCAGCTCTGGCCGATTGACAATGGAGGTTTGGGATCCTTCCTCTCAGCACCCACTCCTGGAAGAATCAGCGGTGCGCCACGCCGATTGAACCCCGTCGAGATCACTCGCCAAGATTGCTATTCTGAAGTTTATTGTAAAGAAAGTGAAGAGTGAGACAGGATCCGTTTATTTTCAACCGGTTTATTTCCATCAAATTACCCCCACCCCCACGCCCACCCACCGAAACGCGCCCAGCGAACCGGGGAGAGATCCATTGATTTGGCTAAGGTAGGAAAGAATCTATTATTTGTTTGCTAAAGCAAATTGCATTAATGGGAGAGATCCGTTGATTTGGCTAAGGTAGGAAAGAATCTATTATTTGTTTGCTAAAGCAAATTGCATTAATGAAAGAGATCCGTTGATTTGGCTAAGATAGGAAAGAATCTATTATTTGTTTTCTAAAGAAAATTGCATTAATGAGAGAGATTTGTTGATTTGGCTAAGATAGGCGGTTTTGAGTAAAGTTATCTTTACTGTAGACATATAATGACAATTAATCAAGTATCAACATCATTGCATGCTTATTGTGTGGAATGTGTGTCCCAATGTTGACAGAAGGTATAAAAAGATTGTCTTGGAATTATTATTGTCTTGGGAAGATATTGCCCTGAATTCTCATTTCTCATCAGAAATTTAGTATCCATTTTCGTTGATCTTATTTGCAACATGTACAAGTCAGTAATAATCTAAGGGGGTGCCCTATCGGAGAAGATTATGATAGTTGGACAAGAAACTTGGTACTGTCGTGTAAGGTAAAGGTAGGAGAAATAGGAGATAAAAGCATGCATGGTGGGAGAAGGAAGTCGAATGTCGCGTGGTAGCTCAGACATGGAGTGTGGAAGAAAGACAATGACGAGATGTATGTATCTACTAGATCATGACCATGAGATATCATCCCATAGAAATGACCTTTGACTCTCATGTCACATGAATTTTCTCTTTGTATATATATATTTGTTAATCCGTGGCAACGCACGGACACTTAGCTAGTAGCTTAGGTTTTTGGGTCGTTAATCATCTTAGCTTCGACAGCTGCGAGGACGACGATGAATAAAGAAACTTGAGATCCTTCCCTAACGAGGTGATTGGTTTTATGGCTGGGGATGGATTTGGAAACCAGTTTGTTCAAGTAAGGATGGAGTGGCGGCGGCGGCTTTCTCGTGGTGGATTTGTGTCGTCAGGATCTGCAATGGTGGCGGCGTTTGCTCCAGCGTCGGCGTGGAGCTTGTGAGGTAGTCCAGGTGCGGATGCAGAATGTTGTCCGCATCGGGAGCATCTAGGAGAATGCAGATCGTGTGCTGGATTGTGGCTAGTAGGTATGGTTTACTCCTCCAACGTCTTATTAGTGCGAGGGTGCCAGATCTGAAGTTCGATGACGTGTCCAGGGTGTTGCCTCGGTCTGATTAGTTCAACGGTAATGACTTCGTCTTTGGCGAGTCATCTTGGAGGTCCGCAAAGTACATATTAGCGATGAAGCTGCGTCGAGTTCGGGTGAGGAGTTGACTCGTTAGTTTCTCCTTTGGTGGTTATTATGGTGGTGCCAGAGACAGGTGGCAGACGTTGATGTCAAGCTCAGAGGATTCTTCAGTCCTTATTGTAATTTTTCTTCTTGTCTGTTTTTTTTTGCAAGGACTAGTGTTATGTTGTTTAGTTTTGTTATGTTGGTATGTACGTTACTTGTACCACAATGTTTATGATAGATACGAGACACATGTTATCTTGAAAAAAAACTAAAGCCTGAAAAGATATATACACTAGTTAAAAGATGCCCACGACAGCCATATGGAGCCATGCCATATGTGATGTGCTCTGGTCTGCGCAACTTAGCTTATTAACCAGACTACTGGTCTGCTCACTCCGGCCGTGGCGCATAGTAAACTGAACCAAGATCGATAGGCGACGTCCGAATCGTGTCACGGCGCATGGTACGGCCGGAACCAACGGCCTCGCCGCCGGTGGAGACCATCCACCTGACGCCGTGGGATCTCAAGTCTATCACCGTGGAGAACATCCAGAAGGGCATCCTCCTGCCCAAGCCTCCCACCACCGGAGGCAAGGGGCTCAACAACGTCGACGTGGAGTGTCTAGCTTCGTCCTTTCAGCGAGCCCTTGGCCACTTCTACCCTTATGCCGGACGCCTCGCCGTGGCCGTCCCGCCGGCTAGCAACGGCGGAGCATCGTCGCCTCAGAACCAGAGCCTCACCATTTCGCTCCGCTGCGGCGGCGAGGGCGCCGAGTTCGTCCACGCCGTGGCTCCCGGCGTCACCGTCTCGGACATCAGCGCCTCGCTCGTCGTTCCTCGGGTGGTCTGGTCCTTCTTCCCGCTCGACATGCTGCTGGGTTCGGACGCCATTGAGGGCTCGCGCCCGCTCCTGGTTGCGCAGGTCACCGAGCTCGCCGACGGCGTCTTCATCGCCATGTCAATGAACCACGGCGTCGCCGACGGTACGACATTCTGGCAATTCTTCAATACCTGGTCCGAGCTAAGTCGTGCCGCCGTCGCTGGCAACGATGTTATGATCTCCTCGCCGTTGCCGGTGTTCGACAGGAGTTTCCTGGGCAGCTGCACCGTCCCCATCCCTCTGCCCTTCGGCAACCTGGAGGATGTCGTCGGCATTCGACATGTGTTCCCGCCCGTGCAGGAATGCTTCCTCAATTTCTCCGCGGCGAGCGTAAAGAATCTCAAGGCGCAGGCGAACGCCGAGATGTCCGGCTCCGGCTGCACCCTTGGCACAATCTCCTCGCTGCAGGCGCTGCTCGCGCACCTGTGGCGTGCCGTGTGCCGAGCCCGGCGACTCGCATCGCACCAGAAAACGACGTACACTGTCCTTGTGGGATGCCGTGGCCGCGTCGTCGGCATACCGGCAGCCTACGCGGGCAACGCGGTGGAGCACGCCACCGCCAAGTCCACCGCCGGCGACATCCTGGACAGGGGCCTTGGCCGGGCGGCATGGCTCCTGAACAGGGCCGTGGCGTCGTTCGACATGGCATACGCGAGCAACAAGCTCGCGTCCTGGCCTCGGGAGCCTAGCTTCACGCGCCTGCCCGCGCTCGTGGCTGCCGCTCCCACGGGGACGCTGACAGGGAGCTCGCCGCGGTTCGACGTGTATGGGAACGACTTCGGGTGGGGCGCGCCGGTGACCGTTCGGAGCGGCGCCGGGAACAAGTTTGATGGGAAGGCGACCGTGTACGAGGGTCGAGGTGGCGGAGGGAGCATTGCGCTGGAGGTGTGCCTCGTTCCGGAGGCGCTCGCCAGGCTCGTCACCGACGAGGAGTTCATGGGTGCAACCACCACTGATTCATACTGATTGTATCTCTTGCAGCGAAAATTTGTATCATCTTTCATGATTGTTAATTCAGTGAGGACCAAATCCGTTGATTAGTACGTAGATTGGTTGAACCGGAAGCAAAATAATGGAGGCTCGCCGAGTCTTACTCCAATATTTTGTAGTATCATCTTTCGTGATTGTTATCAGTGAGGAACAAATGGACAAGTGATCCCTGAGTTGCTGATGTTTCTCAAGCCTACCAGGTACCAGAGTCGATGAGCTGAAAAAAAAAAATTGGACCCCGATAAACCCGAACGTTCGGAATTTTAAGCATGTCAGTATGAACGTTTTTTTATGGCAACTTTAATTGACATGAGGTGACCAGTTTAATTGGTAAAACATGGCAATTTTGTCCCAGTTCTTTTTTTTTAGAAAATTGCCATGTTCGCCAACCTCACATCAACTAAAGTTGCCATAAGAAGTGTTCGGGTAGCCACACTTAAAATCCAAACGTTAAATTTGTCTCCACTCACCTTTTTTGCTCTATCCTGTTCCATTCCTACCTCTATGTTTGCTATTAGGCGGTAGCCAACACCATGTTTACTCTAGGCTACCTTCTGCGCTTGAGGTTAAGCACTAAGCACACCGCTTGACAGTATTTTCATCATGTTTGCAAATTATTAAGTGTTTTTTTGAAAAAAAAATAATTGTCATGTAGTCTAAAAGGCTCATCGTATATTTTTAGAAACCGTTCAGCGCATATATGAAAAAAATTCATCATCTATTAATAATCGTTCTCCATGTATTTACTATTTTTTTGCAATTCCCGTGTATTTACTATTTAGAAATTGTTTATCATGTGCTAAACAATTCTTCATTTTTTTTAAACGCTTCCATGGTTTAAAAAATGTCCATACTGTTTTAAAAAAATAGTCATCATACACTTCAAAAATGTTGATAACGTATTTATGATAGTTCATACTTTTCTTCAAAAATGTTCTTCGTGGATTGACAATTGTTTCCATGTATCAAGAAATTGTTCATCATATATCTAAAGATGTTCATCCTTTTTTCAAAATAGTCCATCATTTATATAATTTTTTTCAAAACTGTTAATCATTTATTTAAAAACATCTAGCCGTATATCTACAAATATTGATCTTGTACTAACAGTGTTCTTTTAAAAAAATGCATTGTTTCAAAAAAAAAACGGTCATAGTGTTTTTCAAAATTGTCCGTTGTGTAGTTTAAAAAGGTTTATTGCATATTTAAGAAATATTCATATATTTTAATACTTTGCTCATGAAATTTAGAAAACGTTTACACTTTTTAAAATGTAAATATTATGTTTTACGTCTTATATATAAAAACTAAACTTACATACATAAATGTTGAATATGTATTCATGTTTTTTTGAACTGTTCACTAGTCTGATAAATGTGTTAGTGTAACGCATGAAAATTTCAAAACAAATAAAGAAAAGGAACAACAATATACCAGGGTAGTTATCTAAGGACAAAACTTGTTTATTGTTCCAGTCATGTGGGACAGCCGGAGTGAACTATAGCAAAACAAATAGGAAAAATACAAGAAGTTCAGGAATGAACACGAAAAAGCGATTAAAAATCAGCGGGCCGACCCAGTCAGAAACTAGTACAGCAAGAGTATCTTCGGTCTTGCCTGAAGTTTTTTGAAGTGTTATATAGTACTGTCCTGCCCGCTTTTAGCGCACGCTCGCTCCCGGTTTTACTAGTGTTTTTCTTTTATTTATTTTTTCTTCATTTTTTGTTTCTTTCTTGGTTTTCTATTTTTCTTATTTTCATTGTTTCCTTTGTTTTTTACACTGGTTTTCTTCGGCTTTCTTGTTTCATTTTTTTCCTGTGGTTTCTTTTTTTCATACTGGTTTTTCTTTTACTTCTTCATTATGCTTCGGTTTTCTTTGCTTTCTTTATATTTTGGTCTTCTTCAACACATGTCTATTTTCCTTCAGTGCACAGTGTACATTATCAGTGTACACGTGAAACATTTCTTAATACATATTGTACATTTCTCAAATACATGACATACACGTTTTTCTTAAAAACATTTTATGATAACTTTGTGAAATACATGGTCAGCATACTTTCAAATACATGCTGAGCATTTGTTTTAATTGTACATACATTTTTAAAATACATAATTCACATTTGTTTTGAACATATATTTTGATGTCTATTTTTTCCGCACTCATTTGTACAATATTCGTATACATCATGAACATTTGTCTATACACATTTAACAATTTTCAGTACTTGATCTACATTTTTCATACACACTGCATAATTTTCGTATACATAAGAAACATTTTTTCTATACACATTTATTTTGGAAATCTTTTATTAACATTATGCCTTATCAACACTTTTTAAAATGCTTGCTTGAACCATTTTTTGTATATTTTTTTGTATACACTATTTGAATACATGAGGAACGTTCTTTCTATACACATTTTACATTTTCAAAATACTTGATTAACATTTTTCAAATACATGACCAGCATTTTCTCAAATGATTGATGAATATTTTTTTTCCAAATATATGATCAATTTAGCTGCACGTCTATTTATTTTTATAATACACACATTTAGAATAACTGGAAGTATAAAAAAAGGTAACAAAGAATGTGAAAAAAATCAGAATACAAATGAGTCTGTGGCCTGTGGTCTCTCACGGTGGGCCGGCCAATATTGCTGTTTGCTTAGGAGAGCCCTCTATAACCTGCGTAAAGCAAGCTAAAGCGAGGAGTAAGCACTATGGAGAAGGTCGTCGCCTCCGGTGTGATCGCATAGTGCTCCAGCGAAAGTCCGGATACGATGCACTGACGTAATTTTTTTGTTTTTTATACTTCTATATATATATATATATATATATATATATATATATATATATATATATATATGTTTATAAAATTAACTTAAATAAAATTTCATAAATGTTCACCGCCCAATTACAAATATTCGTCCACTATATAAAATATATTTGCGCTGACCCATTTGAAAACATCATGTTATTTTCGGAAAAAGGGCCATAAAAAAATACTTACCAGTCAAAAAAAAATTCACAGCATTTAAAAAACCTGTTCACGCATTTTAAAACATGTTTTGTAGCATTTTCAAAACATCCATGAAATTAAATATTTATTCTTGTCTTTTCAAAAAAATGTTCATACCATATAAAAAATGTCCGTAATTGTTTTTTTAAAATAACACTTCACATATATCTAAAAATGTTCAAATTGTATCTAACTTCTTTTCCAAAGTATACGAAATTTTTAGTGTGTATTGTAAAAATACTAACATTTCTTCTAAACAATGAAAAACTAAAGAGAAAACAAAATAGAAGGAAAAAACCATATACAAACTTTAAATGAAAAAACAACAGATAACGATAGAGAAAAGATAGAAAAGAAAAAGGAAAAAACACATAGTACTTTCCCAAAACTGGATGGAAGGTTCCGCGAATTGGTGGTTAGCAGTTTTTTTTAGATCAGGTTAGCAACTTCCTAAAAACCGTGTGTTGCTACTTATTGGGTAAGCCCACTTTCATCCATCCGTAAGCAAGCACGACAACCATCTCAGAGTAAGCAAATTTTAGCACTTGGGTTGCTACAAATTTTTAGCTTCCCCGCTTGTCCCGTGCTGGCTTCACCGCAATCTCCTATTTGACACATTCTACGTCAAATTGTTGGCTCACCGCACACATTCGATTGACACGGGCCAGCCAATTTAGCAGCGAGACGCGCATCCACCGATCCCGGTTTTGGGAACGTTCTGGAAACTTTCCAGTCGGTTTTTCTGGTGCTGAGAACCTTCTACAAGGTTCTTGAACTGTTTTTTTTTCTGTTTTTTTTCGTTTTTCTTTCTTATTTCGTGTTTTTCTTCTTTCTCGATTTTCTGTTTCTTTTATCTTTTTCTTCCCTTTTTCTTTTTGTTCTGTTTCCCCTTTTTTCTTTCCTTTTATTTATTATTTTCCTTTTTCATAAAATGCTCAGGAATTTACAAAATGTTTGAAGTTTTTAAATTTGGTTCATTTTTTCGAAATGTTCCTGTTGAAAGTTTTCTCAGAAAATCCAAAAAGTTCAGAATTTCAAATTTGTTCGCTTCTTTTACAAGAAATGTTCGAAAATTCAAGAAAAAATAAAATAATTTCAGGTTTTAAAAGGTTCACATTTTAAGTTTTTCTTTACAAAATTACAAAATGATATGGAATTTAAAAAATTGTTCTCACTTTCAAAATGTGTTCACAAATTTGGCAAAAAACATATTTTTGAAAATTTGGTCACAAACTCAAAACATGTTCGAGGAATTTGAAAAAATGTGCTTATTTTTTTTATAAATTCGAAATATGTTCTCTAATTTTAAAATGTTTTCATATTAAAAAATGTCACATATTTTGAATATTCGCAAGAAATGCTTATTGAACAAATTGTTTGTAATTTCAAAAAATGTTCGTGTTTTGAAAAAAATGTTCATAATTTCAAAACATGTTCGCATTTTCAATTTTTTGTCAAAACTTCAGAAAATATTCATTAATTTCAAAACTAGTTCCAGCCTTTACAAATTTGTCCACATATTCAAGAAATGATCATGTTTTCAAAATTTGTTCACAAATTCAAAAAATGTATGGGGAATTTTCAAAAAAGAAATCGCGTTTTCAAATTTGGTTCCTATTTTCCAGAAAATATATTTGTATGTTAAAATATTTTTTGGAATTTCAAAAAAAATCATTTTCATATTTGTTGGCTTTATCAAGAAATGGTTGAGAAACCCAAAAGTGTTCACGTTTTCAGGAAATGTTTGAGTGCTTAAAAATTTTGTTCATAAAATTGAAAATATTCACGTTTCAAAAAGTATTTACATTTGTTGAAAATAAAATAATGTTCGAAATTTCTAAAAAAAATAAGTTTGTTGCGACTTATAGTTCATATGCATCGGGCTGCTATTTTAGTTATAAATTCCTAGGAGTTACAGTGGCTAGCGATTTTAGTTCACCAGCGTCAA